AATCTTAGTGAAAACAAATTTCATTTAATTTTAAAAGACTAACAGACATGATAATAAGGGAATTTAATATTGAGATTCACGGCTTGCCTCTCATTTAAAAACAAGCTGTAAAGTTTTTAGGAGTCCCTAATGACTCTCATTTAATGAGCATATACGTGATATGCATACATCAGTATCAAGGAATATTGGAATACTGTATAAGTTTTTAAAAAATCCCTCTGATAGATCTATGATTATATTATAAAATTCTCTAATTCTATCACATGTGTTATATTGTAATATTGTATGGGATAATTCTAGTTAGACAAGAATTAATTCCTTGTTTTTGCTTTAACAGAGAGTGATTCGCATGATTACTAACTTAAATTATATATCACATACAAAACTTTATTTCATCGTTTAAAAACAGTAAAAATACAAGATATTCAAATTTTCCAGACAAGCATTTTTATGCATAAATATTCTCATGGTCAACTACCATCCCTATTTCACAACATTTACAGTTTAAACTCAAATATTAACACAAATACAATAAGGTATTGTTCATCTCTCTATTCTTTTAAAGCATCTCTTTAAAAAAAAAACAAGCATCGCTTATGATTGCGGTCTCCTGCACTTTTTCAACAGATAGTTCGGATCATACTCTAAATTTATAATAATATGTTATAGAAATATTAAGTTTCATTATTATATGTACCTAAATGTTGTATTATACCTTACGTTTATATGTTCTTTGTTATTCTGTTATTATATTTGGAAAAATGCAAAAAAATCGAAAGTTAAAACCAAAATGTCTTTGGACAAACTTGTAGTAAACGGTTTTTCATTTGATGTGAAAGCAACCCTATGGATTGTCAAGTGTATACAATTTTTGTTTTGTTTTGTGATGACGTTTTAACCTTTTCTATATTATATCATTTTAATTGTGGGAGTTTGAAGAGCTCCAAGCTCATGCTAAGCGTGGCAACACGATGAACAAATATTAACGACTTGACAACGGAGACTTGCTTTTCCCGTCACCATAGTGACGGTGAAAACATCACTCTCATTCTATTTCTCACAGATCTTTGCCCTTTGGTATAATGTTACAATGAACAGAAAATCGCTACAAATTTAATTCAAGTTAATAACAAAAATCCTCATCATCATGAGATTCCTCTTAAAATCTATACACTCATCAAGATTCCCTTTCTTAATTATTCTCGTTATCAAACTGACAAATGAGAAAACTGGAAAACAACACGATCGGATTTACTCAAACAACTGAAGTCACTATTTAACAGTAAACTTCGTTTTATGTGTGTTTTTTTTTTGGTCGTCTTTGTTATCGAGTGTTTTAGCGTAGTGAGGGGCGGAGGGGAGGCAATAGGTGTTCTCTTTTTTTTCCCTCTTTTATCACATTTCTTTTTCCTACTTTTTTTTTTATCATAACCCTTTTTTTCTCTCTTTGAAGGAAATTTAGAAAAATTATTGTGGAAAATCTATATGCAAGCTGGACGGGGAAATTGTAAACAAATTTAATAATAATACATTATCATTTAATCTTAGTGAAAACAAATTTCATTTAATTTTAAAAGACTAACAGACATGATAATAAGGGAATTTAATATTGAGATTCACGGCTTGCCTCTCATTTAAAAACAAGCTGTAAAGTTTTTAGGAGTCCCTAATGACTCTCATTTAATGAGCATATACGTGATATGCATACATCAGTATCAAAGAATATTGGAATACTGTATAAGTTTTTTTTAAAAATCTCTCTGATAGATCTATGATTATATTATAAAATTCTCTAATTCTATCACCTGTGTTATATTGTAATATTGTATGGGATAATTCTAGTTTGACAAGAATTAATTCCTTGTTTTTGCTTTAACAGAGAGCGATTCGCATGAGTACTAACTTAAATTATATATCACATACAAAACTTTATTTCATCGTTTAAAAACAGTAAAAATACAAGATATTCAAATTTTCCAGACAAGCATTTTTATGCATAAATATTCTCATGGTCAACTACCATCCCTATTTCACAACATTTACAGTTTAAACTCAAATATTAACACAAATACAATAAGGTATTGTTCATCTCTCTTTTCTTTTAAAGAATCTCTTTAAAAAAAAAAACATCGCTTATGATTGCGGTCTCCTGCACTTTTTCAACAGACAGTTCGGATAATACTTTAAATTTATGATGATATGTTATAGAAATATTAAGTTTCATTATTATATGTACATAAATGTTGTATTATACCTTACGTCTATATGTTCTTTGTTATTCTGTTATTATATTTGGGAAAATGCAGAAAAATCAAAAATCAAAACCAAAATGTCTTTGGACACACTTGTCAGAAACCGTTTTTTCATTTGATGTGAAAGCGACCCTATGGATTTTCAAGGGTATACATTTTTTGTTTTGTTTTGTGATGACGTTTTAACCTTTTCTATATTGTATCGTTTGAAGAGCTCCAAGCTCATGCTATAAAGCGTGGCAACACGATGAACAAATATTTACGACTTGACAACGGAGACTTGCTTTTCCTGTCGCCATAGTGACGGTGAAAACATCACTCTCATCCTATTTCTCACAGATCTTTGCCCTTTGGTATACAATGAACAGAAAATCGCTACAAATTGAATTCAAGTTAATAACAAAAATCCTAATCATCTTGAACTTCCTCTTAAAAGCTAAGCACTCACGATTCACTTTCTTATTATTACTCTTTATCAAAAAGACACATGAGAAAAAGTGAAAACAACACGATCAGATTTACTCAATCAATTGAAGTCACTATCTATCTGAATATTGCATTATGTACGAAGATTAGGTTGGTATTCGAAGGGTGTATGGGCACAATGCCCTCTCTCTCTCTCTCTCTCTCCCTCTCTTCAATCTTTTGTTTTTCTTTTCCCTGAACATCAAGGTGCCCTAATTAAACTTTTTTGTATATTCTCTTAAGTAGTCTATAAACGGCATCTCACCTATCAAAAAGGTTTTTTTCTTTTATTTCTAACTTTCTTTAAGATTGTAAAGTAAAGAAAAACACACTTTCAATCGTCCAACTACTCATAACAAATCGTCTTAACTGCAGTGGAGCTGATCAAATGTCTTTAGACAAACTTGTCAATAGCGGTTTTTTCATTTGATGTGAAAGCGACCCTATATTTTATGAACCTTTAAGTTTCTTTTTTCTTTTTCTTTTTTTGATGACGTTTTTATTTTTTGGATATTGTATCATTGTAAATTGGGGGAGTTTGAAGAGCTCCGAGCTCATGTCAAGCGTGGAAACATGATTCACAAATATCAACGACTTGACAACGGAGAATTCAGAAGGGAAAAGAGGAGACTATTCAGTCATGTGACAAAATATTTTGTAAATTGTCCTTCAAATCTACCACTGATCACATTTTTAAAACAACTTCCAACATTTTCAAATCATTACCCCCCCCCCCCCACACACACACACACACACACACACACACACACAGAAGACTATTTTCCGTTCGCTTGCATCTTCCAGTCATGAAAGAATAAGAAAGCCCCACATATATGCATTGGAAAACCACATGGATCTAGGATTTTGTGAAGTTCCATGGCATACGATTCGGATTAAATTCCGACAAGAAATAATGGATGTTCATTGTCACAACAAATTGTTTCCCAAAAAGGTATTTTGAAAACAAAAACATTGAACGCCCTGTCGTTTATTGTTGTTGCTGTTTTTTCTTCGATAGACCGTTTTCATTTTATATACTGACAATGACTGACGAAAATTCTTTTTCTTTTCCCTTAATGATGTTTCTAGTTGGAGTTTAAAAAAAAGGGGGGGGGGGAGAATCTTTGAAAGGAGGCGCGATAGCTCAGTCGGTAGAGTAGTGGTCTCGTAATCCGGGGAACCGAGTTCGAAACCAAGGCGATGCGATAGTGCCCTTTGGTGAGGCATTAATCCTCATTACCAGGTCACTCAGAGAGGACCTAAAGCCGTCGGTCTTCGGGTTGCTTACTATTAACAAGCATTTACCGTTTCTTAGCTGTCAGGTAAAATAACCACCACTATCACTAAGAAATACTGTAATTTTGTTCATAGATGTCGTACTAACAATTAAACATTCCATGCATTCATGTCGTTTTCCTCAGAGGCGTAACATGTAACTATATCAACGTATCGTTGATATGGTAATAGGGAATTTTCGATTTGCGTGTACTGATACGTGTGACGTCCATTCAAGGCAGTGCATTAAAAGGACGTCGATCGTAGCAATCCACGTTGTCGTTGTGCAATTCTAAAAGTCCCTATTGACGCTGCTATAACGACAGACTATAAATTGTTTTAACGGACCAATCAGATGATTTCCTTGCGACTATTCCTCTCGCAGCTCATCTCTCTTCACCTAAGTAGCAATATCACTCGCCGCCAAAAACAACAAGACTTATGCACCCGCTGCAGTGATATTACAATCTATTGGCTTGGATATCACGGATGTTGGAGCTCAACAGTTCTTAGAATCTTCTTAACCAATGCTTCGTTTTTTTCGCATAGTATTCGATTTGCAATGCTAATTTGTCTTTTTAACTTCGTCCTTTACTAGATAGAACCAAATCGGTTGATCAGATCAAGATCGATAACTTATTACGAGGTTTTTGTTGTCTTTTCTACCAAACCGGTGAGTAATAATTGACGAAAACATTCGCCCTGTAAAGATGGTTACCTCAATCATTATGCCTATCTGACTATTGGGTAAAGTTGGATAAATGGTGCTCACATTCTTGTTCAAGCAGAAATAGGGTAGTTCTTTGGATAACACATTATCCGGGTGTAAAATTGTTAACATCTGGTTGATTCATGATTACCCTCACGTACTTTTTTTTAAAACCTAGGATTTCAAAGATGTGAACCATTTGATTATGAACATGTATTGCAAAACAGATTAAGGATACATTCATGAAGTTTAACAAAAATCTTAACTTGTATCATGATAAAATAACGATTATTGTTATCATCACTATCTTTCCCTTTCAGCACAGAGTATGGAACAGAAGTATGTTTTGGAATGTACCTATGGCATCGTAATCTGCCTGTCCATCGGTAAATATTGCTTTTCTACGCATTTGTAATTCCTCTTGAAAAGTGAAACGTTCATGCTAACAGAGCCATGATCACACGTTTTAATGGCGGAATTTCATCAAAATGAAATACATATAGCTCGAACTAAATTTTCTCTTTCATAGGCTTAGCTCTTGTGATTAGTTTGGTACTTTGCCTTCGGGACCGTATATCGTTTTCGCCACAAAATAAAACACGTTAACCTGCTTATAATCAACACATAGATCATATTTGTTATCCTTTCTTGCCAATTTCTCCTCTCCCATCCCCCTCCTATATTTTCTCCCCTTAACTTTCTTTACCACTCATCTTCCACTGAATTATCATAGCGTCACAAGTGTGTTACTGCAAATTGGGATGGGGTTTTAAAGATCCTCTTTAATAATGTGCATTTCCCCATTTTCATTACTATCACCTATCCTGCTCTGTTTTAGAAGATAATGCATTTCATTATGAAAATTATTTGGTTGATTATTGAGTTGAATTGAACTTTATTCACCACTTTCATAAAAAAACATGCAAAGTCAAAGAATACAATGAAATATTTCATAAAAAAGCAGATAAGCCCCCAAAATGGAAAATACACTAAGAACAAATTATTATATTCTGAATGATCAGTTACATGCCTGTTCCGGAATATATATCTTCCTCAAAGTCAATTCTCTCAATATAAAATGTACAAATCGATGCTTCGTGCCATGTGGGGGTTGGTCTCGAACATCAGATCTGCGTCATGTTAGTAGATAAAATTAAATACATGTAGTAAACAAAATATCAGGAGAAAGGTGATTGGAAGAGAATACACGAAAGATTATGACCTAGCGGAGAAATGATACCGAATCTATACGAAGTAGATCATCGCAGGGGTAATATCTAGGATAGTCTTAACGGAGGGAAAAGAATCCTATGCGACAATGGTCAGTGGCGAACGCAGGATTTTTTTTCAAGAGGGTTGTTTTAAAATTAAAAATCGCGCCGAAAATTTCGCAACGACTCAGCCAGCCGGGCGGGGGGGGGGGGGGGGGAGGCCTCCTTTACCACAATTTTTTTTTTACAACTACAAAAAATGAGGGAGGTTAACCCCCCCCCCCCCTCTCCCCTCTGCGTACGCGCCTGACCATGGAAACTACTCTCATTGTATATCTTCCCCACAGCCCTACTCGTGTCATCGGATGCAAGCATGAATGAGACAAAGACTTGTTGTACGGACAGATTCGGCCTGAATTACACCTTACCAATGTTCTTTGAGTGTCAGAAGAAAGGACACCTCAATGGCAGTATGGTACAAACCATCCCAAAGCTTATCCCTAATTCATTAGGAGGAGGCGGTTGCCCAAGAAGGGAGAGTAAACTTGGTGTTCCTCCTGGACGTCGAGTCTGCAGATTTCCGGGTGATTGTTTTCTTCTCTGTTTTTTTTTCTAAAATCCTTAGAAGAGCTTTTCCACTATTGTTTGGACTTTAAAGACTCTAGCCGATGAAAATAAAACGTGTATAATTGGGAAACTGAATTAATGTAGAATATAAATATAAAGGAATAAAAAGTATTTACCCTTTTATTATTGCACGAAAGCAAATTAAAACCTCATTTTCCGTGCCCCGTCAAATTACGGGTCAACAGCGGTCAAATTTGCCGCAGTTACAGTGACGACATAGCATGCGGACTTGACCGGTTCGCCTATAAAGTTGAGGCGATGAGCCGTGCTTGATTAATGCAAAGTCATTGTGAATATGCGCACTCCGCATGAGACGATGTCATCAAGTCGATGGCTAGTTTTTAGGTCGACAACTTCCGATTTTCAAAGCTTTAGATTTTGAGTTTTCGGAGGGCTGATACTCCTATGACAGACTCTAAAGTGGAATGTAATTGATATTATTGTAATCTATGGCTCACAAGCTTTCCGTTGATTTATAATTCATCCATTTCATTTTTCAGTTCGAACATGGTATTTAAGAAAAAATAATGATTGTATCTAGGAATACATTAGGAACTTTTATAACTATTTGATTTTGGTCTTATTCAAGAAACCCGGAGTAATTCTAATATCAGCGATGCTGTTTTGTATTTATTCAGTGTCATGTTCATTACATATGTTCGCAGATTGCGACATTAATCCATGTGAAAACGGCTGGTGTGAGGAGACTATGACCGGATATAGATGTCACTGCCCTATCGGATTTCAAGGAAAACAATGTCATGAACGTAAGAACTAAGAAAAAAATTGCATTTCCTATCTTTAGAGTATAATTAAACCATCCAGCACGATGCAGTTACCAATAAAGACAAGTAGTTTACTTTACGTCATCCTTTATTTTGGCAATCGCGCACTTTACGACAAAACTACGATTTGATTTTTTTTTCAATGAAATGAGCTACGGATTACATCGGAATTTCAAAAGCGTAAATTGGCCAATCTCGTAATTCTAGACTCGAATCTAAGAAGATACCAACCGTTACCTGCATTATATCCCGTGTCCACCCACAACAAATTCATCGTATAACTAAAAATAGTTATATGATGAAATTGTGTGTGTTGACGCTTACTAACGGTACGTCGTATAATTGAACGCGGGTTTGGACATCGTTTCGAACTAGACCTCAATAAAGAATCACGCGTAATCACGGAATATGTTGTGTGTGGACGTAACTAGTATAACTGGTCAAACTTGAACGGTATAACTGGGAGGGGCTTAACGTGACCGCGTGCGAAAGGAGACCCGATCTCTCATTTCCGCTTTCGTTTCATGACCGCAGTAGCAAACTGCGCACCTATAGGACGTTTCGCTTTAGAGTTTCGTGATTACTTTCTGGTGTGTGTTGAAGCCCTGGAATTTATACGATTATTCTTTATACGACGTTTCTTGAGTGTGGACACCCTGGAATTTATACGAAGATTCTTTATACATTTCTTTTAGAGTTTCGGGATAAAAAAAATTTAAAAAAATTGTGTGTGGACACGCTAATAGTCTCGTAACTGAACTGACCGCGGGAGGTCGTCGGTATGAGGCTGCAAGGTGAAATGTTTGGAAATATATATCAAGAACTTTTTCTCCAACTTTCCTGTTTATTTTATTCATTTCACCAATGTTATCTATCAATCTTTAAACTAGTTGACACAAATCCGCCTGCAACAACCCAGGGAATTTTTGTTACCTGTTTGAAGGATATCACAGTAACCGTCGAGCTTGGTACTCCGAATAAGTCGATAGAGTTCACCCCACCATCGGCTGTCAATAGAGAAGGAACTGTCGTCCTGGTCTCTCAGAACTATATATCGGGTGATGATTTCCCAGTCGGGTCAACTCTCGTTGAGTACATCTTTGCTGATGAGAGCGGAAACCAGGCATCTCTTTGTACCTTCAACGTCAACGTCAATACAGGTATAAAGGAAAGCATGTTTTGCAATTTGACATTTTTACCTACTTTATTCATGATATTATGTAAAGGGATACTTGGTATTAATGAGCACTCTCTTTTAACACTTTAATTTGAGAAAGATGGAGAGATGTTCGGGTCGATACAAGCAAAATAACAATGAAATTGATGATTCATCAACTCAACCATTCGATTGAAGGTTAAAATGAAATGCTCCTTCACTTTTGAGTCAGTTTGTCTGAGCCCATGATGGTTTGACTGGATAACAGACCATAAGACACAAAACTACATTCTTATTATGTCTTGATATCACAGTCGATACCACCCCTCCAGTGGTACAATCCTGCCCTTCTAACCAGACATTCTCAGTCCTCAAAACCACCACACCAATCACTTGGACACCACCAACAGCCAGTGATGCGTCTGGAATTGCATTCATCGTCGCCAACTATGAACCTGGAGTTAATGTCTCCGTGAATAGCCCCATTAGCGTCATCTATACTGTGACCGACAACAGCGGCCTTGTAAACACAAACTGTTCTTTCAACATCACCCTCGTATCTGTAGGTATGTCATGTATGATTTTTGTTTGATATTACCTCAAAGATAACTGTAGCCTATACAAGTCTATACTCTTTGAAACCTATGCTCATAAAATGTTAGTAAAAACGTATAGTTGATAATACTTTAATAGCCATCTGTCACTGTTTCACTCAATGATGAGTCGAGGCGACGCCTTCTAGAAAGAATATTTTAACATGTACGATAGCAATTACTTTCGAAATATTAACCTAAAGCGTGTCCAATTGCCTTGTGCGCCACCAATTTAATTTCCAAATATGACAATGACATATATTACGTAATCGAATCATGACTTAAGAGGGATTTCTGTTTGGAATCGGAGGTAAAGTCATCTTTGGTTGTTAAAACAGCATTGTTTACTTTTATTATTATTATTAAATCGGCGCCTTCAACTGCAACTCGAGGTAAAATAGCGTGAGTTTACGGAGACGGACCTTGGATATTTCTACCGTATAGTATGGTGGTGGCAAAAAAAATAATAATACGTCGATTAGGACTAGGACACATCGGTCTTAACGCGGATCTAGGCCGAATATGGGAATACATCCAACTGGACACTGTAACTCATGTCGAAAAGTAGAAACCGCTGAACACTTTATAGCAAAGTGCCAGAAGTATTAAATTGAAAGATACATGCTACTCGCTGAAACAGATTGTATAAATCCCGACGAAATTTTAAGGCTCTTTAATTCATCAGATGCTTACATTGAAAACGCTTCATACCGTTTTATTCTAAAAATGCATTTTTTTTATTTTATTTTTTTTAATATTTTTTTTGCACCACCGTTCACAAAAGCCCCCATTTTGTTTGTTTCCCCTAAAAAGTTTAATTATTCAATGCAATATGTATTATAAACACCACTCTATCACAAAATTTGTTTTTAGATCGAAGGTTCGTTGAAGTTGCGAGGTCGCTCAAAGCCAATTTCCCCGAAAAAGTACCCTCTTGATTTTACGATTGTTGATCAATTCCTTTCTTCTTTCGAGTTTCCAGATTATTAGTGTAGCCCAAAGGGCGCCCACTGTCTACACCCGAGAGACAGGACGGTGTCTGGACGGTGTCTTAGAATGGACAGGACTACGCGGTAACCTACAACAAAAATCTAAATTTTGTCGGTTTTTTTCTTTTTCATTTCATTTTAAGGGAGTCAGTTCTTGACTGATTGCCATTACAACAACAAAAAAACATCAACAACATTTTGTAGCTCAGTCTTATTTCATTCCGTTACTCTGTTAAGGGTGTGCTGCTAAATTCGCTCAATCTATTGGGCCGCCCAGCCTCTGAGAGAATAAGCTATTTTAAAATGTCCTTAAATAAATAATTTACGTTTGAACTACTGGAGCTTTGGCTGAGTTTATAAATAATAAAGTGGACTTCAACTGTATTTCCGAGCTTGTTTCGTAATCATTTTGTTTCTGAACTCGTAGTCACCGACCCATTGTGGACCCATTACAATGCCTTCTTACTTTCCGTCGAATGTGATTCCACACCTAGGCATAACGATTAATCTGATATCATTACTTCACATTTACATTTTATCGGAGCTGGAGGTATGAATGATATGCAAATACTGTCATTCCACTGCTAAGGTATCGCAAGATAAACAAAAATATGGGCGTGTAGACAGATGGCTTTTATTCCTAAACAGATTCTGGTGCACATTTATCTTCTTAAAGGAAAATAATTTAGGTGACCATAATGAACACATAAGTGACTGCAATAAAACAAAATCTGACTATATTATATTCAATTGACTATCCTCAAAGACATCTCTTTCTTGAAATCTGTTCCATCAAAATACCAATTAATCTCGATTACTGAAATGCTTTAAATGTTCATTGGTCCTTCAGAGACAGAATGGGAATGCACGTCCTCGAAATGTTACCGCTTTGATACAAGGTGGCTGATGTGGCATCACGCTCACAACATCTGCCCGACCCTTGGACCGATAACCACGGCTGCAGGAGACAGGACACCATCCCTCCTATTTGCAGATACCGAAGAAGCGTCCCGGCTCGCCTTAATACTCAAGCACGGAAATGATCTACGTGATTCATGGATTAACTGTAATGAAATGGAAACCAAAGGGCTGTTCATGTGCGACGTGGATGGCAACGGAGCTGTGCAGATTAACTCAACCAGTAAGTTTAATCTCGATAATTCAGCTCAGTATTGCTACACGTAATTACGCCTATCGAATGTATTTCCAACCTTTGAATTATATTGGTTGTAATTACTGCAACATCAATTAATTAGCTCCATCATAATATTTGTTTGCTGATGCAATGTACACATTGGTCTTGGGATTCACAGCACTGTACTTGATATATTGTTAAGTGCTATTTTGAACTAAAATTTTCTTTATTTAATTTTTGTTTTATATATTTTTTTTTTTGGAGATCAATAAATGAAACGGAAGGGTGTATTCGTAATGTCATAGTGCTTTGTTTATATTCTAAAGATCTTACATCCATGCTATAAAAACCAAACATTTTCAGAAACACCTATTCAAAGCACAACTGAAAACGTATCTGTTTATCTAAAATTTACTGTCTTTATCTATGAATTAACTGCAGAACTATTTTTCATAAAACTTGCATTGCATTACATTGCAAATCCACGTTGTCGTATCCTGATCAGATTGTTATGGATAGCTGCGCTTTATAAATTCATGTATATTATTACATGGATTATCATTATTAGCTACATTATTATTACCATCATTATCCTGCATGGGGGTAGCACGCATAATACTATAATAAATTATGTCTCCCCTTTTAGGTTGGTCAAGCGGTCACCCAACCGGCTACGGAAATGAAAAATGTGTAGCACTTTCCTATCATTACAAATGGCGTGATTTGCCCTGTCATTATGCTCGAAGCTCCGTCTGTCAGATCGTTTTATAAAAGACCGTGGGTATTTTCCGGTCGCGAGGAATATTCAGGCAAATAATACACTGATTGAACCAGACTGGAAAACAAATATGTGGAAAGGCGTGTAAAGTATACAAACATCAAATTTGTATCACATGTTTTGTTTATCTTTATTTGTATTCCTTTTTTTCTCTCGAATTTATCGGCATCATTATCATTGTTCTTGCATTAAAATAAAGTTGAGTTCTGGCCATGCGATTGCAATGTGAAAGAAACGGTGTGGAATCGATCAGAAAAAGTTGATCATGTAGCATTTAAGTATTTGTGCGTACTGTAAGGTTCTGGAGTCATCAAAATGATAAGAAATTTGGCCCAGTCATGTAGCATTTAAGTAATTGTGCGTACTGTAAGGTTCTGGAGTCATCAAAATGATAAGAAATTTGGCCCAGTCATGTAGCATTTAAGTATTTGTGCGTACTGTAAGGTTCTGGAGTCATCAAAATGATAAGAAATTTGGCCAAGTCTTGGTAAAGAAACAAGCACTGTACACAGATCGATGTTTATGGGACTACACAAACATAAAAATCGGGCCTCTTTTGTAAGCTGTTACTTGTCGTATTTAGAATATTAAGGCAATTGAAGAGCCATGCTTTTCAGTGGAAAATGTTTTTTTGATGTTCTTCCTTACTTATATAATAACAATGATAATGCTCACAAATTATATTTCACCTCTCCCCAGAACTCAACCTTATCTTTAAGAGTTTTTCAGTCTAAATGTGCATACAAAGCTATTGTGCGTCATTCTGATTTTTAAATTATATATTAATCTATTCTTTGTTTCAACTCTCGCAGTTAGCGGGGTGGTTGGTTGTTATTTTGTTAAAGACAATATCCACCTTATGCATGTAATCTGTAAAATAAAGTACTTTTTAATTGTCATTTACATTCTGATATTTTGTTTACATCAAAGAAGTTACAATTCATCACTTATTTAATAGGCGCTATAATTATAAGTAAAATGATCAGAAGTAGATCATGTCAACATGTAAATGGTAAATGATTATACATTGATTGATTCATACTATCTTGTAATTTTACTAATTAAAAAAAAATTACTTTTCACTTTATTATACTGTAACAGAAGAATGTTATAATGATTCATTTTTTCCCCAAAATATCATATTTTCAACATATTTTTTATAATTTAAAATTCATTTCCCACAATACGGCATCTGTTTGGTCTTATGTTTTTGTATTTTCCTTTCTCGAATATTGAACTAGGCCTATGTGTACACACTTAAAAGTGAGAATTTTATTTTCTTCCTGTAATCGTAAATTTTTCATGGATTATTTCCAAACAAAACAAATTTGTAATTTAGCTCGTAATAAAGCTTTATATGAAGTAATATAAGTTCAAGCTCGATTTGGTATCGCATGGAAATAGTAAGTTAATTTTAGAGTCGTCACGTTATATTGATTGCGACCATTGGATGCGACCGTTATTGTTGGTCAAACAGTTTTTGAGCGTCATGTAACGCCTGGCTGGAGATTGTGCACACATTATGTGCGGGCAGGCACTTAATCCAATGACCGGGGTAAGAGTATATTTATAAAGCGCTTAGAGACATTTGTATTAAGCGCTAGATAAAAATTGAATATTATTATTATTATTATTAATTGGCATATTGCACTCCCGGTCATGTTAGATGTTATATTAACCACTTGGTCAAAGGAGTATATTTTTGCGTCATACCGTATCCATCCAGGCAACCCTGCGGGCAATTTGGCACGTACCCATTTACCGTGATCCCGGCCCCCCACTCAGTGTTAATTATAGGGTACGCGTATGCTCGTTCCCTCTTTTTGAAAGCACCCCCTATCTGAGGACTACCAACATTTCCGAACCCCCCTTTCGCGGGCTTTTCGCGGGCTTTTTCTGCCTTGGAGACCCCCCTAAATACGGAAAAATACTCTATGTATCCCCCTAAATTCGGAATAATTTCTCAGGAGTCCAAAGAGATGAGAGGAAAAAAACAAAAAAACACCCCCTTTTTAAAGAAATCTCCGGGTGAAAAGTCAAATACACCCCTTTTTTTTACAATTCTCGGGCCGGACTTCGTCGCACGAAAAGTACGACTTTACCGGACATTTTGGTAACACGCATGAGGTCATTCCGACCGGAGTGGAGGGGGGGGGGGGGGGGGCGGGACCGTGATACTCTTCATGATTATACAATGGATTACCTGAGAAAATAACACACCCTCAACGCTGAACCGGTGACAATATATAGCTTGCCTCTCATTTTGTACCCCGACGGTATGTTTTAGGGATCTCGCGATCAGTGGAAACACCGATGAGTCGCCAACTATTCACGCCAAACCCGGTATGAGCAAGGTACGAGGGTTTTTTCAAGGTTTTTTTTTTCTAGTGGTGTAAATTGTAGACCAAAACATAGATAATCGACGATAATTCAAAATGGTCTTTTTGGTGAGTAAATGGGCTTCATGTAATAAATCACATTTACCCTATATTTTGTATAACAAAGTGTAATTTACTCTATAATATGTATAACAAAGTGTAATTTACCCTATATTTTGTATAACAAAGTGTAATTTACCCTTTATTTTGTAGAACAAAGTGTTATTAAGGAGATCAAATATAACAAAATTTATATTAAACTCGATGAGGGTTTCATATACATTTTTAGACGCAAGGGGGTTATATTTCCCAAAGTGAGTTATATTTTCCAAAGTGATCATAATTTTCTTCAGCGCCGCGCACTTCGGAAAAGAGTAACCCCTTGTGTAAGTATAACTCCCTACAGTGTTCCAAAGAATGTTATATTAAATTATAGAACATCTTATAGATCCTAGTCATATGATTGAAGGATCGTTGTTCAAATGTTATTTAATAAATAATTGAACGAACACGTCATCAATTGTGTCTCCCTTGTTTGAACAACTACACCGGTTACCTGTTCATAAGAGAAAAATGTATAAAGTTCCACTATTTGTTTATAAATCCATGTATAACCCTATCCCATCCTATATTTCTAGTCTGTTTTGTCCCATCCAGCGATCAATATATTAATTACGCTCAAGGTCAAATCCTCTTCTTCTGCAAATCCCCGGCATCAATTCAAAGAAGGTCAACAAAATATAAGTTTTTCTGGTCCCAGTATTTGGAATAGTCTCCCATTAAGTCGACCTACAATTGCTATGAAGTTAATTTTAGCCCCAAAATGTGTGAAATTTAGCCAAAACGATCATACCAATTCAGCTCCACTAAAAAAAATTACGGTGACCGTGAATTAATTAATTAATTAATTATTAACAACAGTACATGGGCCGGCTGGTTGGGCTTAATATAACCAGCACGAAAAAGCCAACAAAAAGCCAACATCGGTATTGGCTGAAAGACCACGTAAATAGGCGCTATTATGTTTTTTCAACGGCTTTGTACAATTATCGAATATTTGTGTACCACCACGACTATTAGAAATCGTTATATTTATGGATATTTCAGCCGTCTCTAAACCCGTTTTGATCAAACAAAGATGATTTTGTCATTTAAATTGAATGTTCTTTCAAATTTGACACTCAGTTTTTCATTATCTCACAAACAAATTATTTGGTGTAGAGCCCTCTGCAACAGAACTCAACTATCCCTTTACTATGTCCCATTTGCAGTCCAAAAAATGAACAAGTTAAATTCCAACTGCATTTGAAAGATAATACTAATTTAGAACTTCCCTAAATGAGGTGGGGCTTGAAAATGTCTTCAAGTGGGAAAATAACGACTATTAGTTGTCAAATCGACTTTAGGGCTATAGAGCCCAAAAGTAATAGTCTTGATTTTCAGACAATTGTACCGAATGGTCATACGTTTTATGCTGCGCAAAGATTCAATCAGTTTAATCTTGGCCATCACAAAAAGTGGGTTATTGATGTAGACAAATGCTCATGTACCCTTTACAACTCTTTTCATGTATGTTATTACCAAAGAAGGAAAAAAGCCAGTCAGTCACTCAATAGTGTCTGACAGTGAAGTCTAGCAAGTAAACGGGTTTCCTTGCGTAATTTGAATATGAGGACACTGCTAACGTTTAAATTTCACAGATAGGACATACATGACATATTCATAATTCCTGCAAAGTTCTACAGAATTTGAGGTTGGCAGCAAAAGGGACATAGTACCTTTAAGAGAAATCTCAAAACTTATTTGTTTTCTTTGTATTTGTTATTTTTTTGACAAGGCGTTGTGTGGAGTTGTGTGTAATGTGAGCGAGGTTGTGTACTGTATGAACCAGGCTTGGTTCATGTGGTACACAGCTTTTTTGAATTACTTTACACAGCTTTACACAACGAATTAGTGTATTCACTTGGAGAGCAAAATATTTATTCTGTTTTATTTACTAATCAAAAGCGCTTTCAGCATGTTTATGTAAAGGCGCTATATAAATATCAATATGGATGTATGTATGAATGTCATTGAGTGTGAATTTTTGTTTGTATTCGCATTGCATTTTTGTTCTATTCAGCGTATTTTAGTTCGATGTTATATAAAACATATAATCAATGTTTTTCATACGCGGCGTACGTTCAGAAGTGCGAATATTTTTTTCGTTGAAGATTTTACGTTCTATTGAAGTCATAAACATTCATTATTTGTATAATGTTTAATACTATTTCATTTTCGATGACGTAACACCCATTTCACTTTCCTTGTCATTTCGTACGAAAGTTTATGTATAGCACACCAAAAATAAGTACAACAAACACATGATCAAGCTTTATGGAAGCTTCAAAAAACAAAAAACAGAATTGAAATCGGTCAATGCGTTGTGATTTTATACCATTTTTTTTTATATCGCAAAATTACCGAAAAATCTGCCAGAAATGGTCAAATTGGCAAAAATGGCAAAATTCGACAAAGTTGACAACCTAATTCATCACTTTCTTGGACACAAAATACATTTGATTATCAGCCACTAAACTATCATCTTTGTGGTAAAAAATACTAAAAATCTATTACCGTTTTGAAAACAGAAGCCACCAAAATAAGTCATTTTTGCCATTTTTGCGAATCTGCGAATTTGCGAAAAAGTTGTGAAAAAAACTAAGTCCGCCTAATT